AAGTCCCTGAGCAAAAAAAAAAAAGAGGCAGAAAAAATAAACAGCTGAAAGGTGCAGAACAAAAGAAAAAAACCAAGTTTATTTTCTCACTCTCTGGCTGAATCGGGCTAAACATTTTTATTTTTTATTTATTTTTTTTTTGTTATTTTAGGTCAGGTAGGACGTTTGCTAAATGCCAAAATAAGTGAAAAATATATACATATTTTTGTAACTTTCTCTAAACACTGAAATTTACATACACAAGGATTAATATGATTAGGTATTTCCTAGGAACATAGTGCTATTTTATTGCACAATCAAGTAACTGTTGCCTTCAGTTGTTAAAAAAATGTTACAAGTTTCAATTATGACTTGAAAGACATTTTACGTCACCATTTAACACCTTGAAATTGGGGCTCTGTCTCTTTAAGAAGCTCCAACCCTCCAGGTATTGTTTTTGATGAGAGAATAACATAAGATATGTTTTTTTACATAATAATCCTATAACCCAGTTAAAAAAACACAAAAAAAAAAAAACAGATGATGTCGTCATGGCTTTGTAATCTTGTAATAGGTGAATGAAGAACGTTTGAGTTATCATCCAAAAAGTGAAATTAGAATATTTTGAAGGTGACGCATTCATTTGTTCTATCGAATAGTCCGAAATGGGCTGAAAAGCCGCTACTCTAAAACTAACATAAAAAAGTTAGATTGCAGTTTTGTGTGCGTAGATGGTATCTTGTAGGGAAGAATATCATGTGGAAATATTGAAACAACATCTCCAGGATCATAATTAATTAGAGTGGAATGAATATGTATACGTCTGATATTCTGTTTTGGCTTTTTAATTTATTTTTTTGTGTGTGTGTGATTTCCGTCAGCTGCTTTGCCAGAAGAAGTGGGGGACGGCGTAGAGGTTTTGGAAGAGGAGCTCCAAGCTCTGCTCTACCGACCCCAGGAAGGAGAGTGGGGGGCTCACACTCGAGACGAAGACTGCGAGCGGGTCATCGACGGCATCGATCAGCTTCTCGGGCTTGGTGAGCCTTCAAGCACTTCTGATGACGTTACAGAAAACGGCCTCTGCTTGTTTTTTGTTTTGTTTTTTTCTTCAGTAGCTTTATCTGATCTTGCACCGGTTTGCTCGCAGATGTAGCGAAGGCTTTTGCCTCGCCTGTGAACCTCCAGGAGTACCCCCTTTACTGCACCGCCGTGGCTTACCCCACTGACCTCAGCACCATCCGGAGACGGCTGGAGAATCGCTTCTACAGGTGAAGAAGTAGAAGAAGAAGAAAAAAAAACCGCCAGAAGTTCAGGTTTTACTGTGAACACAAAGTCCCTCTGACTTCTCGACTGACGTCTTTTTCTGCCACAGACGGATCTCTGCGTTGATGTGGGAAGTGCGATATATTGAGCACAACGCTCGCACTTTCAATGAACCCCAAAGCCCGATTGTAGCAGCTGCCAAGGTGGTTACTGATGTTCTTCTGCACTACATTGGGTAAGATGGCACTTAAAAAAAAAAAACGTCTTATGCACATCTTATGTTGAAGCTTCTTAAAAAATTTTCAGTTTTGAGCCTTGAAAGTAATAAAAATGTCTCGAATTTCCATGCTAGGTCTTAAACGACGCTTCGTTTGGTCTTGCATTGATTTTTAGTTTTTCCGTTGCTTATTCTTACTTTTTAATGCTGCATTCGGTTGTTCCACAGCTACGGTAACATGTGTTATTTTACACTGGGATCAAACTTTTCTTTTCTCATCAGAGACCAGAGCTGCGCTGACATCTTGGATCTGTATCACAGGATGAGGTCCGAGGTCAGCAGTGGAGGAGAAGCTGAGGTAGCGTGTCTCCTTCGTGGAACAGGTGCTGCTTTTCTCTTAGGTTTGTCTTTTCACGCCGACTTTGTTCTTGTTTCGCAGATCGACATCGATGTGGACTCTGACACTCCAGGGACATCGGCAGGACACCGGGTAAAAGCTAGAGTAGTTCTCCCAATAAGATGTCGGACCTTTTGATGTTAAGAGTTTCAGTGAAGTTAATTTGGTTTCTTGTAGGGGAATCAGCCAAACTCTAAGAAGCGCGGCGTGGATTTCGACGTGAAAGCCTGGCGAGGTCATTGCCGAGAGCTGCTGCGCCGGATGTTGGCCTCCCCCGACTCGGGGCCGTTCAGGCGGCCTGTTGATCTCTTTGAATATCCGGTAAAACTCCCAACGACCAACGTTTGAAATTCAGCTGGAATTTCTTTTATTTCTTATTTTTATGAGAATGCAACTTAAAGCAAGTCGTAACTGCAAAATTACATCTACTCAGGACTACCGAGACATCATTGACACGCCCATGGATCTGGGCACAGTGTCGGAGACGCTGGTGGCTGGAAACTACGAAAATCCCATGGAGTTTGCCAAAGATGTGCGCCTGATTTTCAGCAACTCTAAAGCTTACACACCTAACAAGAAATCACAGGTAAAGCAGGCCAAACGTAGGGGAAATCGGAGCCTAGTGAAAATAAATCCATAAGTATCTAAAGTCTAACATAGTGCTGACTACGTATGATGATCTTTTCTGTCTAGATCTACGCGATGACTCTCAACTTGTCTGCCTTTTTTGAAAAACACATCATCTCCATCATCTCTGACCACAAGTCTGCCATTCAGAACGAACGGCGCACTCGTCAGAGACTCAGCTATAGAAGCAGGTTGCACAACGGAGGAAACTCCCCACGAAACAGTCCATCCCCGAGGTACAGAGCAACTTTTATTATAAAACTACAGTCCAGACAAATTGTCTTTTTTATTTTGATTTGTTGACTGGAACAAACTGGAATATTTGTACTCTATAAGCAAAGGAAAGTAAGGAGATCCCAGCTAATTCCTCCCAAAAAAGAAAATTATTTAGGTTTCTCAAACATTCAGGCACCCTTATCTTTTATGTGGCTATTAATGATTTCTAAATGCTATTTTTTTTTTTTTTTTACTTTTAGCCCTAAAGGGAAGCACAAATCAGGTAAAGTGTCAAAGCTCAAAAGATCCTCAGCCTCTACGAAGAGGAGTTCTCAGCGAACACGTCAAGGTATGATGGTGCTGCTGTGCTTTGCTGGGTTTTCTTCCTCCTTTATCCTGTGTTTATATTTGCAGCTTGTATTTAGTAAAAAATAATGAATAAACTGAATAATGTTTAGACTTCCACAATTAAGGTGATCATGGTAACTCGGATTTTTCTTCTCCTGGAGCAAAGAGGAAAACAAACATGTTAAACTCAACAAAATGCAGAGTAAAGATCATGTTGTAGAGCTCCTTGCAGGAGTATTTTAAAATGAGGATTTCACAGAGCAGCTGCAATGGGATTAAAACACACACAGGGGGACATTTAATTTTATTTAGAGACATTGAGAGCAAAACAGCTTAAATACAAATATATTTTTTCTCTAAATACAAAGTGTTACTTTTAGAGATGCAAACAATTAAGCAACTTACGATGAATTGTCGATTGCTGGTTTATTAAATTAAAATGAGCTCCAATTGATTAACTAAAAAACGTCCGCTTAGACCAGGGGTGCCCAAACTTTTTCCTGTGAGGGCCACATAACTTTTCCCTTCTCAGGTGGGGAGCCGGAGTCAGTTTGTAACAGAAAAAGTGTGACGATTGCCCAAATGTAAAAAATGATTGTTTTCCAGAAAGCACAATCAAATAACCCTCTCTGGGTTCTTCACAGAATAAATCCAGGGAGGATTATAGTCTGTATTTTCCGAACTATGAGCCGCACCGGACTATAAGCCACAATCCCAAAGTTTTTTCTTTTAAAAAACCAGTAAACATACACATATAACCCGTAGATATCTCTTCTGCTCTAGATTTTCCACAACGATGCAGCAGCAGCAGAAGAGAGGGGTGGACACCCAAAATCTGAGTAATAACAGGTCAATTGAATATCACATTTATTACAGTTGAAAAAGAAAAAGTTGCCAAGTTTAGATTTAACAGAACTGATTACGGTAGTTTTCGAACGGTAACTGTAACAGTAAAAGTGCTGATCCTTCGTGTCTGCTACTAGCATGGGCTAAATGAAAATAGGCGCTTCCTTCTTCATCTTTAGATCTCAACGGCAGCTTGCATCCATTATTGTTGCACTACTGCCATCTACTGGATCCTAATAACAAAACCTGAAACTAAAATAAA